AAACGGAACCTCGCAAGAAACCTCGAGCGGAGCCCTGGAGCCCAGTTTCGGTCTGCGAGGGCCCCGGGGCCTGGCACTGGGCGACAACGCCTGGCGTGTAAAAGCTGCAGCGGCTCTGCCCTCCTCGGGGGCGGACAAGAGGGGGGTGATGACTAGGGGGGGGGGGATATCATGGCGGGGGCCATGATATCTCCCCAGATCTCATGGCGCCTCTTCTTGTTTCACTGCGTCCCTGGCCCCCCCGCTGGGCCGCGCACGTGCCGCCGGTCATGATTTGCACCCCCCCCTCTTGGACACCCCCCTCCTGGCCGCTCCCGATCTCCAGGGCCCGCGCCTCGGGCCTCGCAGCTCGGGCTGCCCCTGCTTGGTGGGGCCGGCCGTGCTCCACGGGGCTCCGCCCCCCGCCCAGGGTGCTGCCCGCGGGGCCCCGGCCCGCGCGGGCCCCGCCACGCTGCCGTCGCCGGCAGGGCGCCGGCCCGCCAGGGCCCTGCCCTCTGTCGGCCCTGGGCGCTCGAATTCCGTAGCCTTCATCCGACCCCCATCCCCGTCCTCATCCCCTTCGAGCCCCCCGCCAGATTCCCACCCCGGTCGGGGATACGCCCCTGGGAGCCCGAAGGGAACGCCCCATATCCCCATCTTGGGGTATATCGGCCAGTGGGGCCCAGGCCACGCCGCTGGGGATGGGGATCGGTTAAACGATACTCACCGGCTCACGCGGGCCCCACCATGTTGCCGTCGCCGGCAGGGCGCCGGCCCGTCAGGGTCCTGCTCTTGTCGGCCCTGGGCGCTCTAACTGGTACGGGCGACGTGGGGCCCAGGCGGTAAAGGAGTAGCATCGCTGCAGGGCCCACGCGCTGGGGCTGCCTGCGGAGGTGGCTGTCCCCCCTGGGATTATTCTCGGGTGCCGACGGTTCTTTTTCGTTTCTGTTCGCCCGTGATCCTGTCTCCCAAGGTTGCCAACGTGATCGTCCATGAGGACTACAACCCGAGCACCCTCGACAAGGACTTCGCACTCGTGCATCTGGCGGAGGACGCGCCACTCGGCAGCTGCATCGGGACCGCCTGCCTGCCTAACTCAACGAGTGATCTACCGGTCGGCTCCACGTGCTACATCTCGGGCTGGGGCACGATGTCAGCGGGAGGAAACGCGTCGAACACGATTCGGGAGGCGGAGGTGACGACGCTGAGCAACGAGGCGTGCTCGACGATGTATGTAGGGAACATGAGCTCGAACTATTACGACGACGAGAACATGAGCGACGAAAACATGAGCTCGGACTATTACTACGACGAGAACGCGACCTATGACCCACTCGCGGGTTGGTGGGATCCCATCACGGACAGCATGCTGTGCGCCCAAGGAGTCCTGAACGGCGGGGTAACAGACGCCTGCCAGGGCGACAGCGGTGGGCCGCTGGTCTGCAGTAACAGCGAGGGCTACTTTGAGCTCCACGGCACCACCTCGTGGGGCTACGGCTGCGGCGACCGAGATTATCCTGGAGTGTGGGCTCGGGTGACCTCTGTGATTGACTGGATCACGGAAACAATGAGCAACCCACCACCTCCGCCAACACCCTATCCACCCGTGGCACCCGGAGAAGCGTGGACGGTGGCATCTGGCGATTGCGTTGTCAGTGGGGACTGTCTGACAAGCCCCAACTACCCCCAGCAGTACGACACTGACCAGGCATGTGTTATCCTCGTTGCGACAGGCAACACCATGGCTATCGAGGTCAGCACGTTCCAGACGGAGGACAGCAGCCCCAAGCCAAAATTATTGCCTTGTCTGAACTCTGAGAGAGCGCGCCACGGGAGACCGAGCCAAGGATGCCCCCCTTCCTTAGCTATCCCCCCTTTCTTCTTTACCCCCCCAGTCGGAAGCCCCCCCCCCCTTCCCCACTTGTTTCGCGCTCCGGAAGCTGCCCCTCCCTCCCCCAGTGTGGCTCCCCTAGCATGAGCTTCCTCCCACCTCCCCTTCCCCCCTGCCACCCCTGCAAGCCACCCTCCTCCCCTTTTTCACCTCCCCGGTTGGAAGCCCCCGCCCCCCCTTCCCTCTTCGGCTTCGCCCCGCGGGAGTGAGCTCCCCCCTCCTCCGATGGCCTCTCCCTTTCCCTTCCCCCCTTCTCCGCCCGCAGCCTCTGCAAGCCCCGCCCCCCTCTCCCCTTCTCGGAGCCCTGCCACCTCCCCAGCTGGAAGCCCCCCCTCCCCCCCCTTTTGTCCCGCTCCGGGAGTTCCCCCCTTCCCCCCTTTGGCTTCCCTGCCAGAAGCCCCATCCCCTTCTCTCCCTTTCCCCGTGCGACCCCTGCAGGCTGTCCCCCCCCCTCCCTTGCCCCCCCTTTCCTTCGCCCCACGGAAGCTCCCTTCCCTCCCCTTGGACCTCCCCCGCCGAAGCAATACCATTATATGTTGTATTCGTCGCACGGCGATGCCTGGGCGGAAGGGCGAAAACAACACGGTCCTGGTATTCGAATCACGTGGCAACGCCGGGAGCCGGAATACCTACTAGTCGATGCGACTCGTCACACGGCAACGTCTAACGGTGCGCAAACAATACCATTCCATCCTCCCCCCCCGCGTGACAACACTGCGAGCCGCAAGCGGGCTATTCTACTTAGCCCGTCACGTGGCAACGCGGGGCGGCGGAAACACATACTATTTTGCTCTACCCATCGCATGGCTACACAAGAGCCAGGCGGCCCGCCAGAAGCTTCGGAATCCTGAAGGTCCTTACGCAAGAAGTCAGGAGAAAGCCTTCGGAATCGTTCGGAAAAAAAGGATTGGCCCCTGCGTTGCACTACTCGTCACGTGGCAACGCATGGGCGCGCAAACACCTAAATCCTGCTCTGCACGTCGCGTGGCAAAGCCTGGGGGGGGGGCGATAGCACCATACTTCACCTTACTCGCTGCGTGGCAACGCAAGGGAACGGAACAGGTACAAGCCTATTTTCGTCAGGTGGCAACGCGGGGAGGCGACTCTTGCTCGACCCGTGAAGTGGCAGCACCTGGAGGGGCGAACAATACATACCATCATGCTCTCATCGCCACGTGGCACCGCGTGGATCGGAAACACGCTGTTCGATTCGACACGTGGCAACGCACGCGGGTGCGATACCAGTAAGATTCTACAGGCTTAGGCCACATCCGCCGACCCCTTGCGAGCCCGGGCTGACCCCCCGCCCACTGACCGGCGACTCCATGCTTCGCAAAGTCAGGGGGCGGGGTAGCTTTTGAAGCCCACCCTCTTCGAAAGGGGAGCCCAGGCTCACCCCGGAAGCCTACGGGGGAGGGGGGCCCTGGCTTCCGAAGCACCCCCCACCCTTTTCAGCAGTGGAGGGGGGGTAGCTTCCGAAGCCCTCCACCCCCACTAGGACCCAGGAGCCCCGGCTTACCCCGGCGCCGAAAAGGGAGGAAAAGGTGGGCATACCGAAGCCCCACCCTTCCTTCCCAAGGAGGGGCCCAGCTTCCAAAAGGGAGGGGTGAGGGGTAGCTTCGGAAGCCCCCGCCCCCTTTTGGAAGGAAGGGGGGGTAGTTTGAAGCTGGGCACCCTCTTTTGTTCCTCCCGTCTCCCGCAGCGCGCTCTTTCATACTTCTAGCTTCTTGCTTCAAGGTGGTAGGGATCTACTGCAGGTGGCACCGATGCTTCCCGAGTCTCCATCTTTTCTCCCTTCCCAGTTGTCTGCCATGCGGAAATCGTTTCCGACCTCCCTCCCGTAGCAGTGCTAGCATTCTGCTGACGCCCTGGGGCCCAGAAATCAGGGGGAGGGGTGAGGCGTGATGTGCTCGAGACGGCGCCGAAGTTCAGCCTCATCCACGGAGCCAGGAGGAGTGAGAGAGAGAAAGAGAGGGAGCGAACGGGATGCACCCCTCATCTAGTCGTCGCCTTCCTTAGCCGGCCACTCACCCCTAGACTTCCTAAGCGTCCAGACGCCTCCAAGCACCGCCTCCGCGAAGCTGACGGCCGCCATCGGCCCTTTCCAGGGGTAGTCGACCTCACCCCGAGCGTGGGCCGCTGCGCCCCTCGCCGTGTGGCAAAGTGTCCTGGGCGCGGCCTGCGGTGAGGCAGCGCTGCCTCCGACTGTTTCCTCGTCGTCGTCGTCGTCGTCGTCGTCGTCGTCGTCCTCGTCGTCGTCGTCGTCGTCTTCGTTGTCGTCGTCGTCGTCGCCGCCGTCGTCGTCGTCGTCGTCGTCGTCGTCGTCGTCGTCGTCGTCGTCGTCGTCGTCGTCGTCGTCGGCTTCCTCTCGATCCCCCTCCGCTCCATACTTCTTATTACCTCCTCATCTTACCTCTCTTCCCCACTCCTCATTCCCTCCTCATTCTTGGAGGCGTGGGATCTTCTCTTTTTCTCCTCGCCCTTCCTGCGTGACGGGGGCCAAGCGGCCCCAGAGGCGCAGGCTGTTGCAGCCAGGCCCCCTCCTGGGCTGCCAGGCCGTAGCCGACAGGGGTGATGCGGCTGCTTCGCCTGGCTGTGGCCGACATGCTATCGGCAAGCGTCGTGGATTTCTTGTCCTCGACAGAGCGTACTGCTGTTAGGATTCCCTTTCGAAGACTTGCCCTCCCTAAGAGGTAGCGTGTCCAGCTCCAACCAAAGCCGCTTGACCCGGTCGTTGTGGCGAGCTGCTCGAACCTATGGATGGTTCGGCTGCAGCATTCGGTAAGCGCGCCGAGTACGCACCTACGAGGCGAGCGGATCGGCCGGAGGTTTGTGCCGCCTTGGAAGAAGAGCTGGCGGCTCTGTCAGCCAGAGAGTCTGGTCCCAGCAGGGCGGCCGAGATCAACACCGCGACTCCAGTGTAGCAGGATTGGCTGGCTGGTGGCTTTCACGGAGCGTGCGTCAGTGGGAAGCAAGCGCAGATCTTTGAGTGAGCTTGTAGTCGGATGTGGGCTCAGCTCCCGGGCTGGATTGGGACGAGGGCAGTGCATCCCGACTCCTTCACGCAGAAGGCGGACGGAATGACACCCTGCCCCCTGCGACAGGGTGCCTGCAGTGTGGCGGGGCGCGGGCGCACAACCCAGTCGCGTTTCGGCCACATGCCGCCCGCCATCGGGCGCAGGGCCGCCTGCACGGTACGGTTTGTCGGGCGCCGCAGGCCCTCGTGGGCGCAAAAAACACGTCCGACAGAAACATAAAAACTCAGAGGTCCGCGCGGATTTCTCGGATCGGCGCTGGGGCCCCCACGCGGCGCCTCCGGCGCCGCCCCTGGCGCGCTCCGCGCGCCAGGGAGGGGGGTCCAGCGCCGATCCGAGAAATCCGCGCGGGCCTCCGATTTTTTATGTTTATGTTACTTTTTGTTCCCCTAGGCCAGGCCCCTGGGCCGCGACCCCGCGGACGGGTGGCGTTTCTTCGCAGACGCCCCGCGCGGAACGTCAGCGTGCGACCGCGCACCTGCGGGGCCGCGCCCGAGAATCCAGACCGCGAGGGCGCGGATGCGGATCTGTTCGCCGCTCGTGAGGTCCCTCGGGCGCGCGGCCTCTGCGGCAGCGAGCGGCTCGACGTGGTGTTGAAATCGGGCACGTCCCTCTGCAGGAGGACTAGCGAAAACTAGTGTATCAGAATAGTCGGGGGAAGATGTTGGGACAATTTTTGATATTTTGTGGCTCTCTGTGGTTTATTTTATTTTTTTCGCACAAGATCGGAAACTGGAACATATACGGTACCAGTGGCGGGCTGTTTCTCAATCCCAAGACTTTTCGAGGGTAGGGGACGACGTCGGGGTGGTCTGGTGTATAGTTTTTCCCCGTTTTCGCGGGGAAATATCGGACATCGTATACACCAGGATCCCGTATACACCAGGTTCCGCGTTCCTGTGCGAACTTCAGCGCAGGGTCGGAAAAGGCGTCGGTGTATATAGAGCTCGCTTCCCTACAAAATCGGCCTGCAGGGGGACGCGCCCGACCGAAAACTTGGGCTGGCGCCCTATTCCGCCATTGCGCTGTGTGCCGCGCACGGCGCGCCGTCTGCTCTCCCGTGGCGCGCGGCAGCCAGAGCGCGGCCTCGTCGCGGTTCCCTGCCGCGTGGCGTGGTGAGCACCCGCGCGCCGCCGGCAGACGCCTTGGCCTTTGCCAGGTGGAACTGCTCAGCAAATATCAGCCAGCGTTGACTCCCAATAGGTAGGAGGACAGGAGGAGGACGAGGTTGGTAGATAGGACGAGGAGGATAGATTCGAGGACGGGAGGATCGGAGGAGGATAGAGAGGAGGGCATAGATAGGTGGAGCTGCTCAGCAAGTAATCGACAAACCGCCTGCTTCACAAGGCCTTGGAGAGCTGCTCTTCCTGTCAGGGGTGGCGCCCGCTGGGCTGCGTGAGCGCGCCAGACTCCTGGCAGCGGCGGCGCCGTCGCCGCGCACCCGGTCCAGGGCCGGCGCCCAGCAGCGCTGGAAGGCTCCGCCAATCTCCTCGACGACGTGGGCGCGCCGAGCCCGCGCCGAGGCCGCCAGCAGCTGGCCGCGGGGCCCCGCGGGGCTGCTCCCGGCGTGGCGAGGGCGTGCCCGCGCTCCGAGGCGGCGCTCTCCCCGCCCGGGGGCGCGCGAGGCCCGGGCCGCGCCCCCCGCGAGATCGGGGCCCTGCAGCCAAGGTGACTATTCCTTTCTCGGGGGCGGAAAAGAGGGGGGTGATGACTAGGGGGGGGTGGATATCATGGCGGGGGCCATGATATTTCCCCAGGTTTCATGGCGCCCCTTCTTATTTCAATACGTCCCTCGCCCCCCCCTGGGCCGCGCACATGCCGCCCGCCATGATTTGCGCCCCCCCTTTTGAACACCCCCCTCTTGACCGCCCCCGACTTTTGGCCTCCTAGATGGGTCGGAGTGGATGGGGTCGGGGAGGGTCGCGCCGCCTCGCCGATGCGTCGCCGAGGCGGCCCGGTGTGGAGCCCGACCTGCTTCACGTCGACGTCGCCGATGCATCGCCGACGGCGAGGATGCGTCGCCGACGCATCGGCGATCTGGCGCGATCCTCCGACGCCCATCTACTCGGACCCCATCTGGGAGGCCTCGAAGCTCATCTTCTTCACCGGGTGCAGGCTGGCCTTCGTCGTGCACCTTCGCCGCGCGCGTGCGCGCAGCCCGGCGGCCAGCTGGTCGGCCGTCTGCGCACAACAGACGGGGGGAATCGCCCGTTCCAGGTGCGCAGCATCTCCCGTGCCGCGGCGTTCGCGAGCGCGTGCTGGGCCAGCTGCGGGACGAGCCGAGCCGAGGACGGACGGTCCGCGTCGGGTCGGGGGCCCACCGCCCGGCATTGCAGGAGCAGGCCGGCGCTGTCAGCGAGGAGCCCGCGCGGGAGAGCACCCAGGCTTTCCTGGCTCTCCCCCTCCTCCTCCTCCTCCTCCTCCTCCGCCTCCTCCTCCTCCTCCTCCTCCTTCTCCTCCTCCTCCTCCTCCTCCTCGTCCTCTTCCTCCTCCTCCTCCTCCTCCTCCTCCGCCTCCTCCTCCTCCCTCTCCTCTCTTCTCCTCCTCCTCCTCCTCCTCCTCCTCCTCCTCCTCCTCCTCCGCCTCCTCCTCCTCCTCCTCTTTCTTTGCCCGTGGTGTGCGCGCTGGCGGGCGGCCAGGCCATCGCCCCTCCGGCACGCGGTGCTGCGGAGACGCTCGGCGTCGATGCCGCGGGGCGCGCGCCCGCGTGCCGCTGGGCGTGGCGCCGCGGCGGCCGGGCGGCTCGCCTCGTGGGGTGAGCTCCGCTGGGGCACCCGGCGCGAGCTGACAATGACATAAGCTTACCTAAGTCGGGCCTGTCCCTCTAAACATAGTCTGGGGACGATTGTTCTGATATTTTGACCATTTCGTTTTTTTTTTGGTTGATTTATTTCGTTTTTTTTTTTTTTTTTTTTTTTTTGTTTTGTTGATTTTCATTTTTTGTCCAAAATCCGCCTGTAGGGGGACAGGCCCGACCTAAGCATAAGCATCAAGACTCGGAGGTCCGGTGAGTCCTCGGATCGGCGCTGGACCCCCCTCCCTGGCGCGCGGAGCGCGCCAGGGGCGGCGCCGGAGGCGCCGCCAGGGGGCTCCAGCGCCGATCCAAGAACTCCGCGCGGACCTCCGAGTCTTTCTGCTCATAGTCAACCCGCATGGTCAGGATGAGCGACTTTCTAAGACTACCCTTGCATCCATCTCCCTCGGCGCACCATTGGCCGCTTTCGCTGGCCGCGCCCCGCTCGCAAAGTGTCGCCATTGCCTTCCAAGGCCATTGCATCCTTATCGTGCGTCCTTATGATACGGGTTGGCTGTGTGCCATTGCTTGCTCCCCTCTGGGCGGCGCCATCCTCGAGCTGTGCCCCCCCGTCGCGGGGCGCAGCGGGACAGTCCCGCGCGGGCCCCCCCGGGCACTCCTCGTGGGTTGGCCTCGCGCGCAAGGGGGTGGAGGGAGGGGGGGGGGGCTTCTTAGAAGGGGGCTGCTTCTTAGAAGGCGCCGGCCTCACATCTACAGACAAGGCCCGAGCCTTCTAAGCAGCAGGGGTGCTTCTGAGAAGCCCTCCCCCTCCCCCCCCCCCTCTGCGCGTGGCCGAGTGGGCCTCCGTCCTCGCGGGCCTCCGCGGGGGGGCGCGGGCGCGCCGCGGGGGCCGCCGCGCCCAGGGGCGCGCCAGCTGCCAGGCCAGCGCGATCCCGCGGCGGCGGCGGGCGCGCTTCCTGCTCGTTATCGGAATCTGGAACATACGCGTTACCAGTGGCGGGCGGTTTTCATTCCCAGGACTCCTTGAGGGTCGGGGACGACGTCGGGGTGGTCTGGTGTATAGTTTATTGATCCGTTCTCTGGGAAGACAGCGGAAACCATATACACAAGGGTCCCCTATACACCAGGATCCGCTTTCCTATGCAAAGTTCAGTGCAGGGCCAGCAAAATACGTCGGTGTGTAGAGTTCGGTTCCCTACGTTCACATGTGTCACGTGTGCGGAGCTGCACTGTCAATGCCTCGCTTTCTTGCGGCTCTGCCGTGCTCTTGCTCGCAGCGCACACCGCCAGAGGCGGCGGAGAGCTTGCGAGATCCACCTACCGAAAATCCTGTGACAAATCTTGTGAATCTCGTGACAAATCTCGTGAAAAATCTCGTGACAAATCTCGTGAAACATCTCGTGAATCCCTTCCCCCTCAGCGGAGGGCCGCTTGAGACACCCGTAGCCACTCGTGACAAATCTCGTGAAACATCTCGCGAAAAATCTCGTGAAAAATCGTGAAACATCTCGTGAATCCCTTCCCCCTCAGCGGAGGGCCGCTTGAGACACCCGTAGCCACTCGCCGTAGTTGGCCTTCGGCGGGGCCCCTCGTGGCCACGGCTGGACGCAGCTCGGGAAAGCGGTGCGCCTGGGCTCCGGGATGGGTCGGGGGACCGATCTCGAGCCGATGTTGAGTTTCCAGTGTCTCAGCTGGCCTTTCTCTGAGCTCCTCCTCCGTTTCGTTCTCCTCGCCTTTCGCTTCCTTCTCCCTCCCCACCCCCCTCCCCGGCCCCCTCCTCTTCCGCACTCCTTCCGTTTCCTGTGCTCCCCTTTCTTCTTTGGACTGGACTCTCCCCAAACGCTCGATGCAGTTCAGTAGCGCCATCGTCCTTGGCAGGCCCGAGCTGAACGCCAAAACAGGCGGCGGAACGGGAGAGAGAGAGAGAGAGAGAGAGAGAAAGAGAGAGAGAGAGAGAGACTCTGGCGAGAACCCCCACGGATGATTTCGCAGCTGCTTGAAGACTGTCATGTGTACCATTTGATGTTGTTGTTGTTGTTGTTGTTGTTGTTGTTGTTGTTGTTGTTGTTGTTGTTGTTGTTGTTGTTTCTGTATTTCCTTATTTTTGTCCATAACACGTTTTTCGATATCTTTCCAGGACGGGTGTTTGAATACATTCAAAATCTGGTCTTTTTCAATTGACATCGATACTTTCACGGACGACGACAACGGCAAGCAAGCTCAATTCCCTGTCTCCGACTTCAGACCCCACTATTCAGATTCCGACTCCTGTTCGCAAGGTGTCTATTGAGGGCCCCGGCCCCCCCGTGCGGCCCTCGTAGGGGCAGTCCCGCCGGACCAACATCGCGCGCTCGCCTCGCCTCGCCTCGCCTCCTCTTCCCCCCTCCTTTTTTTGTCCGTCTCCCCCCACCTCCTCTCGGATGGGGCTAGGACGAGGATGAATGCGTTCCAGGGCGTCCCAGAACGCTTCCAGAGCGTTCGGGAACGCTTCGGGAAGGCCGCGGCGACCGATACATTCTCCAGAGCCGCCAGATCGCAGAGATTCTCCATTTTCCCTCACCCGAATTCTTCTTCCTCGTCCTGGCTTCGTCCTATCCCCCGTTGGCAGGACTACTTCGACTACCTGACGGTGAACGGCAACCACTTCCACGGAGGTGGCCGTCCCCCCCCCTCTCGCGGCCGGCGGACCGTGCTGCCCCCCGCCTGCGTCCGGCGGGTGGGCACGGTGGGGGAGCGGTCCCCCTCGGATTGTTGGCCCTCTGTCCTTGCTCCTCTCGGCTGCGGAGCACAGCAGGGCTCGAAGCCGCTAAGCACAGCAAGGGTGCAGCGGGGGTCGTGCGAAGTCCCCGCCGAGCTATGACACGTCACTGCCCAATGCTTCGGTGTAGGTATTTATTGCAGCGAAATTGTCATCAATCTCATCATCATCTTCAGCATCACCGTCATCATCATCATCATCATCATCATCATCACCACCACCATCATCATCACCATCATCATCATCATCATCATCATCATCATCGTCATCATCATTATTATCATTATCAGTATCACTATCACTATCACTATCACTATCAGTATCACTATCACTATCACTATCACTATCACTATCACTATCACTATCATCATCAGCGTACTCATACTCACCATCATCATCGTCGTCGTCATCAGCATCATCAGCATCGCCATCATCATCATCATCATAATCATCATCATCATCATCTTCATCATCATCGTCACCGTCATCGCCATCATCATATCCATCATCACCATCATCATCACCATCACCATCACCATCACCATCACCATCATCATCATCATCTTCTTCATCATCATCATCATCATCTTCATCTTCATCTTTATCTTCATCATCATCATCTTCATCTTCATCTTCATCTTCATCTTCTTCGTCGTCACCATCACCATCACCATCATCATCACCACCATCGTTCACCATGATGATGGTGATCATCATCATCATCATCATCATCATCATCATCATCATCATCATCATCATCATCATCATCATCATCATCATCATCGTCATCGTCATCGACCGTCTGTCCTTGCTCCCTTTCTCGGCTGCGCTCTGCTGCTACACCCATCAGGCAACTCGTTAAAGAAAGCATTCATCTGGGTTGGACCCTGTACGCTTTCTTGGGGCTGCTTGTCTCGTCGCATTTTCGTATACCTGGGCCTGGACTACTCCCTAAGAGCACGGTTGCCCAGTTTCTTAGCTCGAAGCTTTTTTAATTCTTAGCAGGGGCGCGTCCGACGAGCAAAAATCAGCATACGCATAAACTAAGAGGGTTAGGCGGATGGGTGCCCTCGGGCTCCGAGGCGGCGGATTTCGCCCGCGCTGCGGGTCTCGCAGCTGACCTCCCGCACAGTGCGGGGGCTCGTTGATGATGGTGGATGGGGCTATCTTCTTCTTCTCCTCCTCCTCCTCCTCGTCCTCCTCCTCCCCCTCCTCCTCCTCCTCCCCCTCCTCCTCGTCCTCCTCCTCCCCCTCCTCCTCGTGCTGGTTGACGCTCGGCCTTCTCCTTCTCCTCGTCCGTCCATGTTTTACCACGACGTCGGACATCTAGGTGTATCGACACTGATTCAGCGATACTGGTACCGATCAACGATAACAGCGATAACGACCAAAACGGCAACGAATACAACGATCGCGACGATAACGATAACAACGGTAACACCTGTAACAACGGTAACAACGATAACAACGATAACAACGATTCCAACGATAGCGATAGCAACGGTAACAACGATAACGATGCCAGCGATAACAGTGGTAACAACGATCGGGGTCCGCGGCCAGGGCTCCGAGCGTCGGTGGCGCGGATGTCTCTGGACGGCTTGTGTGCGACGGTGTGAGGGCCGAGAAGGCAAGGTCTTCGGGCACCAGTTTCGGCCCTCCCTGTCCTTGCGCGCCCCCCCGGCTGGCCAGGTGCTCCGATCGCCCATGTCTTCTCGACGAGGCTATACGGCGAATGCGTGTAATCCTGGGGCTCCAGAGCTTGAAGCTTTAAGCTCTGGAGTTCAAGGTCAGGTTTTTTAATGTTTTATACCCTCCGATTCCCTCAAACGATGGAGGCGAAAGCTTCAAGCTCCAGAATTGAAGGGTTAGGGCTCTGGGGCTCCAGGACGCCTCTTAAGAGGCCCCTTGAGAGGCCCTTTATAGAGGCCTTTTGAGAGGCCTGGGATGAAGCCTCCCAGGAGGCTCCAGATTCCCTGGTCTTCCGACTGGTCGTCCTTCTCCTTCTTTTTGCCCGTCCACGTCTGGACCGAAGCACGACGTCGGACATCGTGGTGTATCCAGGGGCTTCCATCGCCCATGTGTCTTTTCGACGAGGCTCTGCGGCGACTGCGTTCAGTGCCCGCCCCTTGGCTATCCATCCTTGCCGCCTCCGTCGACTGGCGTGTGTCGCCTCTCCGCAGGAACACGCCACCGCCACCGCCCTCGCCAGGGCCACCTGGGCCCCTGCGGATGGTGCTTCACCGGCCCTCCCGGCCTCGGCCGGGAGGGCGTGCGCTCGTGGGCGGGCAACGCGTCCACAGCCACGGCATCCCTCGCGGGGCCAGGCTCCTGCCCCGGGATCCCGTGGATGCGGGGCGTGTTTTCGCGGATGCCCCGCGCGGGGCGCATCCATGCGACCGCGCACCCACGCGATCGCGCCCCGGGATCCAGGTCGAGCTGGCGTGGATGTGGATTGAAGCTCGCCGAGAGGGGCAGCGAACGCGATCTGTGTTTCTGGGGCGACGGAGGAGTGGGTATTTCTCGCAGGGTATGCGCAAACCTAAGTAGCACAATCGTCGGTAAGAGCTAACCTAAGATCCGAGCTTCTTGCGAGCGGGGGTCGTGAGGAGTGCTGTTGACGGATCAAGCGCGCTGGCCGAGCGTACTGGGATCGGGCCCTGGAAACAACGCTTCCCTTCCAGCGACCTCCAAGATACAGTCAATACGCTGAATGAAGGGCCGCTTTGGTCTCAGAGGAGGCTTTGGGCACGTGGGCTTTCAGTCGGGCATGTCCCTCGACGGGAGGAATATACAGGAATGGTAGCAACATAGTCCTGCGACGATTTCCCGACTCTGTTTTGACCCTGTTTGGTTCTCGTTGGTTTTCTTTTTTGCTCTTCTTCCAACATTCGCCTGTAGGAGGACATGTCCGACCTAACGTTGGCTGTATGGCTTTGGGCGGTCGGGCCGTTCCTCAGAGATTTCTGCCGCGGAGCGCCTTCGTGGCCTGCATGATGGGCCTGTGTTCCACCGCCAGCACCACCAGAAGTTGGAGTGGGAGGGGGTCCTCCTCCTCCTCCTCCTCCTCCTCCTCCTCCTCCTCCTCCTCCTCCTCCTCCTCCTCCTCCTCCTCCTCTCCCTCCTCCTCCTCCTCCTCCTCCTCCTCCTCTTCCTCCTCCTCCTCCTCCTCCTCCTCCTCCTCCTCCTCCTCCTTCTCCTCCTCCTCCTCCTCCTCCCCCCCTTCGGCTTCTGGTGGTGGTGGCGGAAAGCGGGCCCATCACCGCAGGCCGCTCGTGGCCGGAGCCGCCCCGCTGAGGAGGAGGAGGAGGAGGAGGAGAGGAGGAGGAGGGAGGGGAGGAGGAGGAGGAGGAGGGGGAGGAGGAGGAGGAGAGGAGGAGGAGGAGGAGGAGGAGGAGGAGGATGAGGAGGAGGAGGAGGAGGAGGAGGAGGAGGAGGGGGAGGAGGGCTCCTCGCCGTGCGCCCCTCGCTGGCAGCGCGGCGGCTGCACGGGCGTGCGCGCCGCTCGTGGCGTGCCACCGCGCCGGGGGGTGCGGCGTGCGGCCGCCGCCCGCGCCCGCCCTCCTCTGGGCCTGGCGTCGGGCAGGTCCCTCCGCAGGAGGAACATGTTCCGACGAAGGCATCTACTCCAGATTTCGTAATAAAAGGGAGGGGATCTGGACCCTCCAAGACAAGCCATTTCAGACCCCCCCGTGGGAGAACCCTCCAAAACATCGTCCCCAGACCCCCCCAGGCCCTCCAAGACAGCCTGGAAGAGACCCCCCCCGAAATGAGACCCCCCTCCCTTTGTTACGAAATCTGGAGTATACAGCACCACTGTGCCAGGCCCTGCCTTGGCACGGTGGTGGTGTATAGATGCCTTCTGCGAAAATGTTCAAGGGCAGTGGAGCATCTTCGGGAGCCGATCTTTTTCGGCTGCGCTTGACTGTTTGTGAACATTCCCCCATGTCCTGAGGGTGGGGTTCTTGTTGTGACTCTGACCGCGCGGAGAAGGAGAGAGCACCTCCCACCCTCAGGTGATCATTCTCTGACCCACTCACACGTAGGCTCACCCATATTCAGACTCACTCATACTCCGATGCACTCGCTCTCACATTCCTGATACTCAGGTTTCTCATGCTCGGGATCACTCATATGCAGACTCACTCACACTCCTGGTACTTCCGCGCTCAGACTCACACACACGTTGTGAGGATGTCTCAAGCGAGGCGCTGGTTTCAGTACTCTCAAGGGGGGGCGACGGGGTTATATCACGGGCCCGTTCGCGCCCAGATTGGGGGGATGTCTCGGGCGGTTTGCCTGTTTGGGTGCTCAACATCCTTCTCTTTCGGAGCAGTTTCCGAGGATGCCTCAGGCGAGGCGCTGGTTTCAGCACTTCCAGGGGGGGTCGCCAGGGGTTATATCACGGGTCCGTTCGCGCCCAGATTGGGGGGGATGTCTCAGGCGATTTGCCTGTTTGGGTGCTCAACATCCTTCTCTTTCGGAGCAGTTTCCGAGGATGCCTCAGGCGATGCGCTGGTTTCAGCACTTCCAGGGAGGGTCGCCAGGGGGTGTATCACGGGCCCGTTCGTGTCCAGATTGGGGGGATGTCTCAGGCGGTTGGCCTGTTTGGGTGCTCAACATCCTTCTCTTTCGGAGCAGTTTCCGAGGATGTTTCGGGCGAGGCGCTGGTTTCAGGACTTCCAGGGGGGGTCGCCAGGGGTTATATCACGGGTCCGTTCGCGCCCAGATTGGGGGGGATGTCTCAGGCGATTTGCCTGTTTGGGTGCTCAACATCCTTCTCTTTCGGAGCACTTTCCGAGGATGTTTCGGGCGATGTGCTGGTTTCAGCACTTCCAGGGAGGGTCGCCAGGGGGTGTATCACGGGCCCGTTCGCGCCCAGATTGGGGGGATGTCTCAGGCGGTTGGCCTTTTGGGTGCTCAACATCCTTCTCTTTCGGAGCAGTTTCCGAGGATGCCTCAGGCGAGGCGCTGGTTTCAGCACTCTGAAGGGGGGCCGCCAGGGGTTATATCACGGGCCCGTTCGCGCCCAGATTGGGGGGATGTCTCAGGCGATTTGCTTGTTTGGTATGCTCAACATCCTTCCCTTTCGGAGCAGTTTCCGAGGATGTTTCGGGCGAGGCGCTGGTTTCAGCACTTCCAGGGGGGGTCGCCAGGGGTTATATCACGGGCCCGTTCGCGCCCAGATTGGGGGGGATATCTCAGGCGATTTGCCTGCTTGGTATGCTCAACATCCTTCCCTTTCGGAGCAGTTTCCGATGATGCCTCAGGCGAGGCGCTGGTTTCAGCACTTCCAGGGGGGGTCGCCAGGGGGTATATCACGGGCCCGTTCGCGCCCAGATTGGGGGGATGTCTCAGGCGATTTGCCTGTTTGGGTGCTCAACATCCTTCCCTTTCGGAGCACTTTCCGAGGATGTTTCGGGCGAGGCGCTGGTTTCAGCACTCCAAAGGGGGGCCGCCAGGGGGTGTATCACGGGCCCGTTCGTGTCCAGATGGGGGGTATGTCTCAGGCGGTTGGCCTGCTTGGGTGCCCAGTCGGTGTCCCCAGGTTTCCCTCCGCCACGGCTGGGCCGCCTCGAGACTTATCCGACGCGCCCCTTGGAATGGTCTGGTTTCGCGAGCAAAGGCTTGCGTGTGCTTGGCGGGGGCCACTCCTTCGCGCGACGCGACTTCCTCGCTCCGCGGAGACGTTGCCTCCCCCTGTCTTCGTGAAGGTGTGGGTGCGGGCGACGGCTCCACGCGACGCGAGCTCGCTTGCTCCGTGGAGCCCTTGCTCGCGCTGGTCTGCTGTGTGTGTGTGTGTGTGTGTGTGTGTGTGGGTGAAGTCGTTTTCCGTCGGACGCTTCGCCTTCGCGCGACGCGGTGACGCTCCGCGTTGGATGTGGCGTCCGCACTTGTATCCGAGCGTGCCTGTGTGGGCGACTGTTTCACGGGAAGCGGGTGCGCCTGCCCCGTGCGACCCGTCGCCCACGCATTGTGGAACACTCTTCGGTGTTCGGGGCGCTGTGGACTGTTTCACGCGACGCGGGCTCGCCTGCTCTGTGGACCCGTCTTCCGCGCACGACCAGGTGCTCGCCTCGCGTCGTCTGGCACTGCCCGGCATGTCGGTGTTCTTCGGGACTGCCTCTTACCCTTCGCGGCCTCCTTGGGGTCGTCATTGCCGCTGTCGTCCGAGACATCCTCGCAATTCTTCGCTTCCTTGCGTATGGCACCCTTGCAGCTTTGATATCGAATGCTGCCTCTGTTGATGTGGCCAGAAGTTCTCGCGTGAGATATCCTCGCATATTTGACTGCCCAAATTCGTTGCCCATGGTGGTCGGGGGAGTTCGCTGCACTTGTCCGAACTCGGGGTTCGAACATGCGCTAAGCCGTGATGGTCAGCCCACGCTCGCCTGAGCCATCTTCGTAACTCTCAGAAGCCGAAGCATGCCATCACTATGAGATGTCTTCTACCGAAACATGCCATCACTATGAGATGCACATGTGGGGATCTTTGCGTCGAGTAATTGTTTTGACTATTTGTATTTTTTCTTCCGAAACCCGCCTGTAGGAGGACATGCCCGACCTCACTCTAGGCCTCTTAGATGGGGTCGGAGTTGGTCGGGTCGGAGGATCGCGCCGAATCGCCGATGCATCGGCGATGATCGGCGATGCGGCTAGACGTGGAGCCTGACTTTCTCCACGCTGGCGCCGCCGATGCACCCCCGACGTCGCCGATGCATCTTCGATGCGGCGCGGTCCTCCGACCCCATCTGCTCTGATCCCAGCTGGGGGGCTTCTATCTCCCCTGACCCGTTGGCGGCGGACGCGCCCGCGCAGTCATTTCCACTCCACTTGAGGCGCGTGGGTTGGCTGGCGCGTTCAGAGCTTCGGGGGCGAACAGCATCGCCGTTCAAAGGGCGCGCTCGAAGCTAACGGGTCGAGAGGCCCCTGGGGGAAATATAGATCTGCGTACGCCGTCGGCATCCTTCCGGTCCTGCCTTCCCGTGCTTGTGAGCTACAGCGTCACGTGGGGACGCCTTAGGAGGAGTTTGTGAACTACAGCGTCACGCGAGGGCGAAGGCCCCTGCGCTATTATGCTCGCTGCGGGCTGGCCTCCGGCCGAACGGGGGGGGGGCACACTCGCACTCGCACGCGCGTGCGCACTCGCGCTCGCACGCCTCCCCGCGCGCGCCGGGGCAGGCGACGGGCCCGCCGGGGTCGTGCCCAGCTCCGTGATCACCTGGTCCGCGGACTACACCATCTCGGACAGCGGCCGGGAGCCCGCAGCCCTCGCGGCGATCGCGGCCGCGGCGGCGCGCCGCACGGCCTCGGGCCGGCCGCGCTCGGGGGTTGCCAGCGCTGCCCCCGCGGCGATCGCTGCCGCGATCGCGACCGCGGGCCGATCTCGATCACCCCCGCCTCCCCACCTCCCCGCCCCCATTCCCTCTCCCCCTCTCCCCCTCCACCTCCCCACCTCCCATCTCCCACCTCCCTTGCCCCCACCCCTCCAGCTCTCCCCCCTCCGCCTCCCCGCCCCCGCCGTCGTGGATCTTCGGTGGCATCGTTGCACCGACGTTCGAGGAACGGCGTTTCTCGACCGTGCGCGCACCCACCAAGATGCCGCCTAACCTCACTCCGCACATCCTCGGCTGTCTGGTCGCCCTGCCCTCTGCGCAGTGACCGGCGGGGCAAGCACTGCAGATGCCATTTAGATGTTGAGGTCCGATTTGGGCACCCGACTCGGTGAATGGGCACAGGCACTGGCGCCATGGGAAGGGATGGGATGGGGGGGTCGGATGTCAGGTGTGCCGCGAGCGCGCTTCGCCTGCCCCCCTCTCCCTTCCCCCGTTCTCCCCTCCGCCCTCCCCCCTCCCCCCTGCACAGCTTCTCGGAACGGCTGCCGCCCTCCCCGCTCCCCCGACCAAGTGCCAGCGTGCTCCCGTCTCTCTCTCTCTCTCTCTCGCGCACCGCCACCTCGCGCGCAGGGTTTCTGCAGCGGGGCTCTCCAGTGCGCCTTTTCGCTCAGAGCGTGCTTGGTCCTGCAGGGGTTGCACCGCTGCTGCAGTGTGGGTCACATCTCAGAGTCGGCGCTTTGCTCCCGTCGTTCGGAGTGGCGCTCTCGCCCCAGCGCGGGTCACATTTCTTGCTCCGATTCTTTCCTCGTCGTTGTCGCACCCGCGCCACCAGATCTGCCCACCACGCTTCGGCGCGACACTCAGGAGGGGGAAAAACACACAGACACAATTATTCGTCGATTCCCAGAAAATATAGGAAAATATGGGAAGTGGGGGGGAAGACAGAAACCCATAAAATATAGGAAAATAAGGGGAATCCTTTTATTTGCGTGTGTTTATTTGTGTGTCCCAGTTTCCCTTCAGACACGCTGGCCACGCCCCAGCCTCCCGAGCGTCAAGTTCCCGAGCTCATCAGCCTGCAGGGCCTGGGGTGCCGCAGGGGCCGCCGCGGCACCCGCCAAGCAGATGCTCCTGACCGTGCTGGCTCGACCCGAGAGGGCAGCAGTGAAGGGGCTCCAGGACACAAATAAATACACACAACTAGAAAGATTTCCCTATATTTTCCAATTTTTTTTGGTTTTCTGTCTTCCCCCCCACTTCCCATATTTTCCCATATTTTCTGGGGGATCGACGATTCATTGTGTCTGTGTGTGTTTTTTTCTCCCTCCTGAAGCAGGGGCGGAGGATTGGCAGTGACCCGGCAGTTGCAGCGAGAGGGCAGCACCTGCCGGGGATTGCCGGCGTCCGGCGGCCGTAGGGAGGAAGGTCATCACCACCCACCAAACCACCCCAACCCAACCCGAAGGTCTCGATTTGACCTCCATTTCCAGTTGGGGGGGGTCGGGGAACCTCGAGAAAACACATATGGAACCCGTACCCCCCCCAACCCGAAATTCGGGTCTTCGGGTTGGGTTGGGGTGGTCTGGTAGGTAGTCAGGTCCGCGGAGGCAGGGGGCCTGCAGGGCTCCGGCCGTCGTAGGGCGAGGGCGGCCGTCGCAGCATCCGGCGGCGCACGGCGGCCGCCTCGGCCCTCGGCTCGCGCGGCGCGCTCGCCGCGCCGAGGCTGGAAGCTCTGCCTGGTGGAGGGGTCGGGCGAGGCGGGCAGCTGCGCGGACGCGGCGGGGGGGCCGCGGCCAGGCGAGGAGAAGGGGAGGGAGCGGGGAGGGGGAGGAGGGGGGGGGAGGGCGAGGGGGAGGAGGGGGAGGAGGGGGAGGAGGTGGGGTGTCACCGAACCTCATGTCGGGTCAACGTCATGAAAGGAGGTGGGGTGAGTGCGGCTGGGCGAGAAGGAGGAAGGGGGGTGGAGGGAATGAAGAGTTGGAGGAGGAGGCTTGGAAGGGTGATGGGGATGTGGGAAGGCGACGAGGTGGAGGTGGATGATGGGGGGATGAGTGAGGATGGGGGGAGGACCTTTCCCTGGGCGTCTTGCCCCACCTGTGCTGCAGCTCTCGTCCTACACCCCTGCCGCATAGAGGCGAGAAAGCGCGGCAGTGCGCCGCGGAGGAGGCGCGCGACAGGAGGGAGACGGGGACGCACACGTCTCCCCCCAACATCAGCAGGCTGATCAGACCTGCTGGGGAAGGCTTCGGTAGAAAACAGCTGACGCAGAATGAGCTCATGATTCTCATCGCTGCTTTGAGCCAAAAGCAAAGCAAGCGAGACACCCAGACCCCCGACGTCATGATTTTTTCATAACGTCGACCGCAAGAGGTCTCGACTCATTCCCCGGGACCGGATTTTCATCCTGAGCCCGAGGGCTGGCGAGGGCCCCCGGAGGCCGAAGATGGCGGAAAACCTCCCGTCGTGTTTTTTTCATAACTCGAGGGGGTTTGGATACACAGGGGCTTCGCGGACTCTGTCCCCAAACATTGCGAGCAGCAGCCTTCTCGTTGGCTCTTGCCGACGCCGTGCCGACGCCGTGCCTCAATGCAGGGGGCTGCCTTCTGTTCGCATGGATGTGCCTGGCTGCGTCTGGCATTTCACTTAGCGTAGGTTGTGTGCTCTGGTGCTGACAACCGCCGGCGCTGGCAACCGCCGTGAGACGTCATTCATCGTGGGAGTTCTTCGGGTGTATGTGGTTGGAAAACAAGTCTTCTCATTGGCTCCTGGGTTGCCACGGCCTCCAGGCTGGGGAATGGCGCAGACGGCCGGCGGCGGCCGTGGCAGCCTCGGCTGTGATTTCCCGACCGCGGGCGTGCTCGTGCGAGCGGGCTCTCCCAGGGGCGTCGTCGACGCAGACTCGCCGAGCGGGGGATCGACTGCAGAATTGGCTTACCTTAAGTCGGGCCTGTCCCTCTACAGGAGGGATATGCAAAAATAGTAAAAAAATAGCCTGGGGGCTATTTTTGGACTATTTTTGGGCATTTTCGGGGGGTGTATTTTTAGTATTTAAATTTTTTCGCCCAAAATCTCCCTACACATTGTTCATCTCTTGAGTGGGGGATCGACTACACACTGTTCATGTCTTATTCTTCGGAGATTCCTTGATTTTGTTTGGGGGCCGAGATCCTTTCCTTTCTAATCGTTCCACCCTGGGCCTCTTCCTGGCCACCAGGGTGCCATGAACAACTAGAAACGAGCATACTTAGAAATGAGCACGATTAGAAATTAACGACGTGTACAGAATTGACTTGCCCCAAAGCTCTTCCTGAATCCACGACAATAGCTCAGATCGTTCGTAGATGTGCGAAGCTGGTACATCTTTTGCATATTCGACAAGCGAACCAAGCCTGGGGTAATTCAATTCTGAAGGCGGTCCCCTAGTCGAACTTCGTGATAGCCTTTCAGCCTTTTGACGCTGCGGTGGGCCCGATTCCGTGCGAGCTGGCCCGAGCTGTTGGTCTTGTGCTGCTGAACTCGTGTCCGAGCAGGCGCGAGCTCTTCCGGGGGCTGCACGACAGCCTGAGACAATGACGGTGCCGTCAGGTCCGGCACGTCCTTGATGAGGCTTAATGAGGTAGTCTGGGAGCAGCTTCTTGAGCACGAGGCCACTCTCGAGCATCAGTGATAACTTAGCATCTCCAGCATTGCGCCAAAGCGCTCGTCTCTATCCACGTTGACGTCGAAGGGAGTGCCTGTTAGAGGGCTTGCGCACATGATCCGGACACGGTCGTCATTTGAGAGGAGATGCTAATCTTAAACACCTTCACTGGACAATCGTGCTAGTTTGACCAGCAGGAGCCACTAGTGCTGGCAGTGGGGGCCGCTGGTCCTTGGCTGTCCTGCGGCGCTCTTTGTCGCGGCGCCAGGCCAACCAACGGCAGAAGTTGGCACCGACGTCGGCACGCAGGCCCGTGGATCCAGTCGGGCGAGACACCTCGCCACAATTGTCATCACGACACTTCGCTGGGCGCGCGTCCGTGCGCAGACGATCACGGAGAGCGTCGGCCTTGTGCTGCTGCTGCTGCTGCTGCTGCGCTGCTGCTCCCAGAGAGGTCGCTGAGCATGTGTTGACGCTCCAGCTGTGCGTGTCTCGCCGGGTCACACGCCTTAGCCAGGCGCTCAAAGCTGCGGGCATTGTCCGGCACGGCCGTCAGATCCGCCGTCTCCATGGCCCGCTGGTCGGCAGAGAGCACGGCTGCCGACGACGGCGAATCCTAAGAGGAAGTGCAGATCACCTTAACCATGCAGGCTCGGACCGATCCGTTGCTGAGCCGATCGACTGGCACTCCGAACAGCCGGCCGACTGGGTACGTGAGCTTGTTGTGGCCGAGTGCTTTCGTGAAAGCATCGCCGACGTTTTCCGTGTCGGGGGTATGTTGGGGTATTCTGCCGCATTCGTGTAGAAACACGAGGGGGACCTCAGCGTGTTTCTTCAGGCGTCCTGGTTTCTGGGGGTAGCCCTTGCGTATAGCCAGCTCTACTGCCTGGTTGTCCAGGCGCCCGTTGATCTCCACAGGAGTCGGGCGAGTAATTTGACCATGGCTGCCAATCCGAATCGCGTTTTTTCGCTGCTGTGGCCCACGCGAGGGACTCGCTCCACCTTTGTCCCTGCCATTGCCTGCTCCAGGTTTGCTGGTGAGAGGATGGGCGACGGTGGCGTTGGCGCGGGGTGCGTCCCGCGCGCTTGACTTTGGCCCAGTCCCCAGCCTCCTTATCGGCCATCGCGAAGATGCCCGTTCGGTCTGCAAGGGTTCGTGAGTTCGACCATCTCCGAGGCCGCTTGCAGGGCCGTCATCTGTCGGAGCAGGTGTCGCAAAGCCTGGAGTGTGGTCAGCTTCGACGGCTGGGCGCCTGCGGCCTTCAGCTCCGTGCTCTGACCGCCGCGTTCGCAGCGTATGCTTGGGCCTGCTCTTACCAGTGACTGGCTCGGGGTCGCTGAACCACTTGTGCAGAGGACGGGTGCGCACCGTTCGAGCTCATGGCAGCTTTGGTGAGCGCCGCTACCATCGCCGCGCCGTCCGAGCGATCCACAGCGGAAGGATACAGGTTCGTATTGTCGTCGGCCTGAAGTCAGAAGTCGAATGCCAAGGCCCAGTCTTCGCTATAGGTGCCTCGTTGTGCATTTGGTCCAAGGCTAGATGGGGGTGCTCGAGGACGTCGCGAACGGCCTCGGCGAAGCCATCCGCCTGGAGGCCGCGCCAGCCTGCCAGCTTTGTCTGGAGCCAAGACCACCAGGCCTTGATTGACGGCAAGGGGCGCGAGCCTTCGCCCCGTGGCAGTGCAGGCAGACCGTGCTTGCTGCCACCACTGCTGCCAGATCTCGTCGAGGACGGCTCACGGGCCTCTTCTGCAGGGGACTCGCCTGGCATGCTGTTGCTTCTCGTGTGTTGCTATGGTTGTGCTGTCCCGGCTGCTTTCGGCTTGCCCCCCTGGAAGCTGGTTTCAGGAGGGAAATCATCCCAGTGCGACCCTACCTAGGAGTTGGAGCCCCTAGGAAAGCAGCATTAGTAGTAACAGTAAAGCTAAGCTAAAGCTAAGCTAAAGCTAAGCTGATGCTAAGCTGAAGCTAAGCTAAAACTAAGCTAAAGCTAAGCTAAGGCTAAGCCAACACTAAGCTGAAGCTAAGCGAAAGCTAAGCGAAAGCTAAGCTAAAGCTAAGCTAAAGCTAAGCTAAAGCTAAGCTAAAGCTAAGCTAAAGCTAAGCTAAAGCTAAAGCTAAATATAAGCAAAAGCTAAGTTCAAGCTAAGCTAAAGCTAAGCTAACGCTAAGCTAAAGCTAAGCTGAAGCTAAGCGAAAGCTAAGCTAAAGCTAAGCTAAGGCTAAGCTAAAGCTAACCTGAAGCTAAGCTAAAGCTAAGCTGAAGCTAAGCCACAGCTAAGCTAAATCTAAGCTAAAGCTAAGCTAAAGCTTAGCTAAAGCTAAGCTAAATCTAAGCTAAAGCTAAGCTAAAGCTAAGCTAAAGCTAAGCTAAAGCTAGGCTAAAGCTACAGCTAAGCTAAAGCTAAGCTACCACTAAGCTAAAGCTAAGCTAACACTAAGCGGAAGCTAAGCTAAATCTAAGCTAAAGCTAAGCTGACACTAAGCTGAAGCTAAGATAAAGCTAAGCTAACACTAAGCTAAAGCTAAGCGAAAGCTAAGCTAAAGCTAAGCTAAGGCTAAGCTAACACTAAGCTAAAGCTAAGCGAAAGCTAATCTGAAGCTAAGCAAAGGCTAAGCTAAATCTAGGCTAAAGCTAAGCTGAAGCTAATCGAACGCTAAGCTAAAGCTAAGCTAGAGCTAAGCTAAAGCTAAGCTAAGGCTAAGCTAAAGCTAAGCTGAAGCTAAGCTGAAGCTAAGCTAACACTAAGCTGAAGCTAAGCTAAAGCTAAGCTAAAGCTAAGCTAACACTAAGCTAAAGCTAAGCTAAAGCTAAGCTAAAGCTAGAGCTAAAGCTAGCTAAAGCTAAAGCTAAGGCTAAAGCTCCCAGGGGACTGGGGGAACCGCGGGGCGGGGACTGGGGGAACCGCCCGGGGCGTGTAGCACTGCCCGGCCCCTTTAAGCTAGAGAGTAAGAACCCTTCTAGGCAGAGCCTAGGTAGGGAAAAAACACACAGACACAATTAATCGTCGAGCCCCAGGAAAAGAGGGGAAAATATGGGAAGTGGGGGGGAAGACAAAAACCCAGAAAATATGGGGAAATATGGGGAATAGTTTTATTTGTGTGTATTTTTTTGTGTGTCCTGGGGCCCCTTCA